CGAGTTCGGGTTCAAGTCAGTGGAACGTCCCTGAGTCCACCTAGCCCTGATGGGTACCTAACTCTCGTTAAGAAAACAAAGACGGCTGGGTATAGTGCTGACCACGATATCCCTTCATATGCAGAGGTCCTTGAAGCAAATGAACTTAATCTGCCCTGTGTGTTTTGGGCATAAACGAGAAATGATGATCTAATTATTATTAAATATTAAAATAATCTGAATGATTTGTTGAAAAAAACATATTTTAAATGAAATTAACTTATGACGATTGTTATATTTAAATAAACCTTCGATACGATTCCACAAAAAATGCTACAGAATATTACAACAATTTAATTATGAAAAGAAAAAGAAGAATAAACAGTCATAGTATATTGAGCTGCATGGAACATTTTCATAATAAAACCACAACGTGTTCATGTCCTATTACTGTTTAATGTAACTCTGTACTGCATATTAAAATAGAGGGCTAAACACGAGAGAACGGCAGTAGATGTATGTGTTTTTCCCACGTTTTCTTTAACTTGCTTTCTCTGTGTCTTTCTGTGTTTCTGTGTTTGTTTGTCTTTCCAATCCAATCTTGCGATCGAAATTTCTGGCACTTCCCAGTTAGCTAGCGCGCTGAAATTTTCAGGGAAGCTTTGTTTTGGATGACAATTGAATATTCTATTGTTTTTATTACTAAATTAATCCATGGAAACATTTTATTGATCATTTTAGACCACTATATAATTGTACCAAAAAACGTCGGGAAAAAGGGACATTACCCAGTAACTGTAATTTGATGAAAACAAGGTTCGACACTCCCCCTCTTTTTGCTTACTGAGTAGTTGTCACGCTGTGTTTGTGTACAAACAACCATAACCTAACAACTGGTGGCCAGTATGGGGGAGACTATATGGTCGAGTGGTTGGGCACACGATTGCTATCCCACTCGGCACGGGTTCAAATCTATGTGTTCTAGTCAGTAACGTATTCACACAACGTGTTTTTTTACGAGTTGTCTTTTTACGAGTTGTCTTCGTTTACCCAAAAAAAAAGTGAAAAGATAAAATCGATAGCAAGATTTTAATGCAAACAAACAGACAAAGACTAAAAAGTAGAAAATAATAATCATTAAAAAAGTTTTAAAAAACCCACGTTTTCCGATTGAACTAAAAAGTAGAAAATAAATACTGTACATCACAATAATGCAAGCGATCACTCTACTATAAGCGATCAAAAACGTGGGGCGCCGTGATTTTCTTACAGTTTCTAATACTGTTGACTCTCTACAAGCTCCCTAATAAAAGTCAATAGTATTATCTAATCAATAGTAATATAACTTTTACTTCGGCGCCCCACGTTTTTGATCGCTTATAGTAGAGTGATCGCTTGCATTATTGTGATGTACAGTATTTATTTTCTACTTTTTAGTTCAATCGGAAAACGTGGGTTTTTTAAAACTTTTTTAATGATTATTATTACATTTTTCATACAGTTGGTCCTGTTGTTTTTAAAAAACATAAGGGCCTACTTTTTTCAATGATTGATAGAGTTGGCCCATGTTGCTGTTTGTCTTAAAAATGAATAGGTCTAAAACTTGTACTTGCTTTCGTTTTTGTTTTTTGTTTTTCAGAATTCGGTTGTTGTGAGTTGTTTTCACTTTCTCGTATATACGAAGTATTAAGAAAGTCTTGTAATCGTGCAAAACAAAAATCGAGATGTTTTTCAAATCTCGACGTTTTACAGTCACTGAGTCGGAAAACCATAGTTTTGCAATCTCGTCCGTATGTCTGTGTGTGTATGTGTTTGTGTGTGTCTGTAAACACGATAACTTCAGTACCGTTACAGCTAAGTTAATGACATTTCATATATAAGTATATCATCAAAATCGTAGATCCCGATCAACTTTTGAGCGATTTCCGATAACCGGAAGTGGAACTTATTCTACTTTGAATTTTTCAAAAGCCTATAGCTTGAGTACTTTGTCAGATACATAATTGAAATTTCACAAGAAAGTTAAAGATTTAATCATCTGCCTTCTGTAAAATTTTGAGTAATTTCCGTTGACCAGAAGTAGTAATTTACGCTATTTCCGATTTCTCAAAAAACGCATGTGATTTTATAAAGTACAAATAATATTCAGCCCTATTATGCACGTTTTGTATAGCGTTCACTTAGTGCGCAATTCTTTTTTCTACGAGATTTTATTCTATTTTTAAGAGTTTAAGTAATTTAAAATGGAATAAAAATCGTTGACGTTCTCTGCTCAAGGTTAGTGTATTGTCACCATAATCATAAAGACACAAACATAACACACACAGACACACACGAACAGAGAAACACACACAATAGACACAAAACACACATTATGCATCTTACTGTGGTCTTACCGCACTAGTTTCTAAGTTTAATGTTTTCAACCCTTCACATGCAAAACAAGGTAATTAAAAAGTCTAGTGACAATTTTAGCGCAATTTCCTTATGTTATCTAATAATAGCTCTGTCGTAGCGTAAATCAAAGGCAGGGTTAGTAAAACCATTAGTTAAGTTACATGTTTTATTTACAATAGAGTTACATGACTAAAAACCATTGCGCGCCTAGCAATGTAATCAAAATGTATACATTTTTCAAATAATATGACTATATAAGGCGTATTTCAAGGTGGCATGGCAGCCATATCAAATTTTATACTTTAAGTACAAAAACTAAGAGATTAATTTCGCATAAACCCTTATATACTGTAATAGATTTGACAAAAGTGAAAAAAAATATATACAATAAAACAAATTCATAGCCACTAGCCAGAGGCGTAGCTGGGAGGGGCGGGGCCGGGCGCTTACCATAATTAGCGTAAACGGGGGTAGAAAAAAATAATAATTTAAAAGCTTATTTTAAGCTTCAGTTTTTATTTATGAACAGTCAAATTTAATAAATGTAATGGCTACAAGCCTTTACATACTGATTCAACTCTTTTCTGCCTTATCGAAATTGTTCTAAAGACATAACCAAAAGTGGACCAAATAAGCTTGCAACTTCAACAAACTACACTCTAAACAAGTAATTTACGCTATTTCCGATTTCTCAAAAAACGCATGTGATTTTATAAAGTACAAATAATATTCAGCCCTATTATGCACGTTTTGTATAGCGTTCACTTAGTGCGCAATTCTTTTTTCTACGAGATTTTATTCTATTTTTAAGAGTTTAAGTAATTTAAAATGGAATAAAAATCGTTGACGTTCTCTGCTCAAGGTTAGTGTATTGTCACCATAATCATAAAGACACAAACATAACACACACAGACACACACGAACAGAGAAACACACACAATAGACACAAAACACACATTATGCATCTTACTGTGGTCTTACCGCACTAGTTTCTAAGTTTAATGTTTTCAACCCTTCACATGCAAAACAAGGTAATTAAAAAGTCTAGTGACAATTTTAGCGCAATTTCCTTATGTTATCTAATAATAGCTCTGTCGTAGCGTAAATCAAAGGCAGGGTTAGTAAAACCATTAGTTAAGTTACATGTTTTATTTACAATAGAGTTACATGACTAAAAACCATTGCGCGCCTAGCTACTGAACGTGATGACGCAGCCATTGAACGTGATGGCGCATCTATTGAACGTGATGACGCGTGTGGTGTGGTTGGATAAACATGCCTACTAATTCGGTCCAAATTTCAATTAATTAAAAAAAAATTTGTGACCGAACGAAAGGATATTTGTGAAAACTTTCTTCGGCAATATTGTTCTAAATTATGGCAGGAATCGATTGGTAAATGTTTCAAGTCGCTAAGTGGTCTGGTTGCTGAGATATGGGCCAAAAACTGCATTTTTTCGAGGTTTTTTGGCTTTTCCAGGAAATCCAGGAAGGAATTCCGGATTTTTTTTGGCCCACTATCATCCTCGTAACTTGCTTAACATAATTGCTTTGGAACTAGTCCTCGATATTGATTCGTTGAGGAGGAGATACGACTTAAAGCTACGAACACACATCCATACATTTATCCATACATTCATACATCCAGAAATGACGGGTTAATAAACGCAATTCTCCAGAATGGAAATTGCGCTAAAAAAGATAGCGAGTTCTAAACAGTGGAATAGCAACGTTACGGAGATCATAAATGTTACATATTGTACAACATTTACTCGTTATTTCAGCGATAAATAATACTAACAAGCCTGTAGGTTCACATGTTTAACAATTTTAATGTGAGTAATATAGCTAATATCATTGAAGTAATGAAAAAGCTATTTAAACAGAACGTGTAAATATTTAAATAGTTAATTAAATGATAACTTTTCTTTTCTTTTTAATTACTTAATATTTAATACAAATTAAAAAATAATATTTTCGAGCCATTTAAACAACTCATACGTTATACCAATGTTCATACATAAGTTAAAAAAAATTAAACTGTTTAATAATCTTTAATAACGCGTAACCCCAACATATTTACATAATATACAAACAAACTATGTTATTGCATGAAACAATTTTTCTGTATTTTTAATGTACATACGTTAACATATTTTGTTAACATACATTTTTTTTTTCAATTTCTTCAATTTAAAATACAAATAATTTAACTAAGTCTGTTTTTAAATTTGTATTGAAACTGTATAGAAAAGTTAAAAACAATCTCTATTTTTCAACAGTAAACAAACAGTTGAAAAAAATGTATTACAAACAATCTTTATTTTTGAACAGTAAAATTTTTTTTAAAAAAAGCAGTTGAAAAAGTGGTATGCGAAAGATGTAAAACAATATAACTGTAACAGTTAAATGTAGATGAATGTATGTTTCTAGTATGTATCTTAAAAAGGCGATATGAACATAAAATATAGGATGGGTGTGCGCATGCGCCAAGGAAAGGAAGCAGAGAGAGAGGTAGATAGAGCGCGAGGAGATGACGAAACTGAAGTCGTGGTTCTAGTAGTGTAGCTGCTATATTATCTGTTATCAATAAAAGACTAAAATCACCAATAATGTGGTTTGTATTTGCCTTTAGTTTGTGCCATGAACCCAGTCATACAAAAGGGCTGTGACAATTACCATAATTAGATTGCACATCTCAAGAACTTAGGAGTGAAACACTATTAGATCAAACATCAGAAATATTCAAACTTGTGAATTCATCCATGTGACTTTGTATTCGAATACACATTGAAATACTGATGCATCTCTTCATCTCTCATTGGAAGAATAAATTTTAGTATCAAGACATGATCCACAAATTCTTTCAAGTCTTCCTTAAGACTCTCTATTTCTTGAAGCAAATAATTTAAAACTATATTAGTTCTTAACTAAAAAACTAATCATTTTAATCTAAAATTTCAAACTTTAAAAGTAAGCCAAATTCTTCTTTAAGTTTATCTATTTCGGTGCGCACTTTAGAACCGATGGTTCGACTGTCGTGATACTTAAAGGTGACATCCCTCAACGTGTTTGGTCTTTTCAACATGTCTCCAAATGCCCTCAAAAACTTAATCTGTGAAAACAAATACGAGAAAAATTTAAAAAAAAACAACTTAATCAGTGAAAACAAACAAGACGAAAAATCTGTAATCAAAATGTATACATTTTTCAAATAATATGACTATATAAGGCGTATTTCAAGGTGGCATGGCAGCCATATCAAATTTTATACTTTAAGTACAAAAACTAAGAGATTAATTTCGCATAAACCCTTATATACTGTAATAGATTTGACAAAAGTGAAAAAAAAATATATACAATAAAACAAATTCATAGCCACTAGCCAGAGGCGTAGCTGGGAGGGGCGGGGCCGGGCGCTTACCATAATTAGCGTAAACGGGGGTAGAAAAAATAATAATTTAAAAGCTTATTTTAAGCTTCAGTTTTTATTTATGAACAGTCAAATTTAATAAATGTAACGGCTACAAGCCTTTACATACTGATTCAACTCTTTTCTGCCTAATCGAAATTGTTCTAAAGACATAACCAAAAGTGGACCAAATAAGCTTGCAACTTCAACAAACTACACTCTAAACAAGTGATTCTTAACCTTTTTAGAGTTACCAAACCCCTACCAGGTTCATATGCGCATCCACAGAGCCCTCTTAATAGTTCTATCGTCCGCACATGAAAAAAAAATCCCATCATTAATCATATGAGCCAGGTATGTGTCTTGACCTCCGCCGAAGTCCTAAGACTGAATCACCGAACCTCTGGGGTTCGATCAAAAGCAGGTTATCAACCATTGCTCTAAACTCTTTTAATTTCTTTTTTTTAAATTTGTTTTTGCATCCCAAGGAGCATAGGCATAGACAACACTTCGTCAACTCATTTGGTTTGATAAAGATCGATTCCTGATACTACAGCCTCCCCCTTCTCTATTTTAAAACGGTTTCCTTCAGGACTTTTTCCCCCGTGGACTTCTCACCAGCAACTGCTTAGTGAAGCTATTTACTATCTGTCTGATAGTGTGCTCTAACCACCACCTTTTGTTGCTCTTATTTTATTCTCTACTGTCTGTAACCACCTCGCTCCGAGCCATACAGTAAAAGAAACTTCACATTTAGCTATAATTCCTGATTGCATTTTATTTCCGACAATGCATTTGAATTCAACATTGGTTAAGAAAATTAAAACAAAAAGCACTTGATTGCTGCTGACCCTAAATTAAATGCCATTGGCGGTGCCACTATCATTAAACTGGTTATTAATTGCTTCTTCAACCAGTTCAATTTGTTCTGCATTTGTTGTTGACTAAGTGCCAGAAGGCAGCGCACATCTGCGAAAGTCGTAGAGCTGTTGTGTTACTTGTGTCAGCCCTCTAGCTTGTTTTATTATACAATCCACCAGTCCACTACATACCCATGTCGCACTCCAGTGTAAACAGTACGTTTCTGACAATTTGCTATTGTGTATCACTTGTATGACCTTATTCTAACTAACTTATATCCCAACTATGTAACATACCATAACAGAGGCTGTTACAAAGATGGTACGTAAAAGAATGGCCTACACAAATTACCGCCTGCTACAATCAACCCTCTCAACTCAGATTAGGGGTCGTCCATAAATGAGGTCACATTCGTAGGTGGGAGAGGGGCTCCGTAACTTAGTGACGGTGTGTGATGGGCGGGAGGGAGTTAGGGGAGGGGGGTTAAGATATTGTGATGTCACACTATTTCATTATAAAAAAGCAATGTTAGAAAACGAATGTCGCGTTATTTCGTGTTTTAGAAAACTATTTTAATAAATTGTTATAGGAATTTGTTAAAATACTTTATGTTGACAGAGTTCAGACAAGATTTTGAAAAAACATCGTATTTAAAAAAATTCAAATGCAATTTTGGAGGGGGGGGGTGTAGGCTGAGGTGTGACGTTATTTTAGGGTGGGGTATTGCCACGATGTGTGAAGGATGGGCGGGGCTTATTTTTTTTTCTGATATTAATTTTTTTTAAAAGGATAACGCATCTTAATGGGAGTTTAATTGGCGTCGAGTAAAGTTTTAGGTAACGAAAATCATACACCGTAATTATTAAATCTTTTCCGGACTGTCGCGCGCACACACGCACACACACACGCACGAACGCACGCGCACACACACACACAGACGCACACACACACTCACGCAAACACACACACACTCCCCCAAATTTTATTGGGCATATATATATATATATATATATATATATATATATATATATATATATATATATATATATATATATATATATATATATATATATATATATATATATATAAATGGGCGCCTAATTGAAAGTTCGTCCCGGCCGGCGGGAGGAGTTGCTACACCTCTGCAACAATCTTCTAACTGCGCTGAAAATAAGAAAATAAAATGAGAAAAGTGTTTAGATAGTTACGTTTTGTTCTGTTTTAATATGCATTGACATTGAAAACGTCGTTAGGCGTTGAAAAGACGCTAAATGGGTAAAAAACTTGTCATATTGATCTGGCTCAACATCATATACTCGTATATGCAGTTCTTCCAGTGAGTGCTTGAACAGCTTGGCTATGTTTTTAATTCCAAACTGTAGAGAGATATTGATTTAAATGTGTATAGATCTTTTTCTTCCTCCACAAATAAACAAATAAAATAAAATAAATGTTGAAATAAATAAACGACTCAATAAATAACAAAACAAATACACATACAAACAAACAAACGAATGTGTAATAAAAGATAATTAAATAATAATAAATAAAGCTGGCGTAATCTGGGGCCCTTCGACAGCGGGGGTCTGTAAACTTTGTCAGCCATTGTTACATGTTTGTTACAACCATTGCTACTCGTTTGATATGCCTCAGCCCCAAGATTGAAGTTTTCATTGTGCGTTTTTCTCACAGAAAGCCTGAATGTTACGGCTTGTTATAAAGTAATGGAGATAATTAAATAAAGGAAAATCCAACATATTATTTTTAAAAATAAAAACACTAGTAGGATTATTTCAATTCCTATCCGAGGGGCCAAACTGAGATATTTGAAGCCCACTGGATTTTTCCCGGTAGAATGGCGGGCCAGTCTATCCCTGTATACATATATACTTATACTTATATGTGTGCGAATGTGTACGAGTGCGTATGTGTGTGTATGTGTGTAAGTGTATGACTGTGTAGGAGTGTGTGTGTATGAGTGTGTTAGTGTATAAGTGTGTATGTGTATTAGTGTGTATAAGTATGAGTGTGTATGTGTGTGTATGTGTATGACGGTGTATGAGTGTGTATGTGTATGAGTGTGTAAGTGTGTACTTGTATGAATGGACATGTGCATGAGTGTGCATGCGTATGAGTGTGTATGTGTATCAGTGTGTATGTGTACGTGATGTATGTGTGTATGAGTGTGTGCATGAAGGTGTGTGTGTGTAAATCTCTGCTCAGTGTGGGACACCACTTACTTGATGCGAGAAAGACCCGATGTGCTGCACTGCAATGTTGACCAATGGTATTTTTGGGGACAATAGGACATGTAACAAGTTGTCAGTCACATTAAGTGTCACCCCAAGATCAGGACATGATGTTTTCAAAGCCATCCATGCCCAGTCGCTAATTCTTGCTTATTTTATAAAAAGAATTATATGCATATACATATATATATATATATATATATATATATATATATATATATATATATATATATATATATATATATATATATATATACAATATATATAAATATATATATATATATATATATATATATATATATATATATATATATATATATATATATATATACATGTAACTATAATTTTATCGCTTGCCACATTATTGTGAATAGAACAAAATCAAACTAAATGTATAACCCTTTACGAAAATTCCAGTTTTGTTTGAAAAAAAGGTATAAAAATTATGTCCCTTTGTACCAATTACTTTTGATTAAAAATTAGTATAAGGGCCTACTTTAGTTTGTTTTGATGTTTAAAAAAAGACAATTATCTATTTAGCATGGTTTAATAAAGTCCAATGTAGTAGGTAAGGGGTATTTAGAATACTACCTTTTATTTATTTTATACAACGAATGTTCTGTTTATTAATTATTATTATTTTATCAATAACAGTTTAGAAGCCGTTTCTGTGTCCTCTATGTTTACATTTGTGTTTCCCTTTGCATTATTGTTTGCGTTTGTGTTTGCATTTTTGTGTGTTTGAGCTTGTGTTTGCGTTTGTGTCTGCGTTTTTGTTTGCGTTTTAAGTTTTGTTTCTGTTTGTATTGCATTGAGTTTGCGTTTTGGCTTTGGTTGGCGTTTGTGTTTGCGTTTGCATTTATGCTTGCGTTTGTGCTTGCTGATTTGAGCCAACATATCAATGCATATTTGGGCAATTATGTTGGCATCCATGCCGAGTTGACATCAGCTTCGAACTTGACCCAACGTGTTTGCATGATATAATTACCTTACGATATTAGTAATAATGTTATTTGTTATGCTCAGGGACAGAACTACAATGCCGCCAGACCCACAGTTCGAGAGGGAAGCAGTGCCGACAATAATTTTAAAAAAAATTAAAACATTAATTTTAAAGCATTTTCTAAAATGAATACACGATTGGTAACGTGTTAATGAAAACCTCATAAAAAATTATGCGACAGTTCGGCGTGTAGAACTCAATTTTCAGAGTCCGTGCTTCTCACTTGGATACTTTTATGTGACCAGCTCACAGATAAATAAAAAATAACAAGTATCCAGAATCATTCTAATTAAATTAAAATTAGAGCTTCAGCAACGCTTCACGAATATATATATATATATATATATATATATATATATATATATATATATATGTATATATATATATTATAGCTATAATATATAATTATATATATATATATATATATATATATATATATATATATATATATATATATATATATATATATATATATATATATATATATATATATAATTTGCGGGAAGGGGGGGGGGGCTTTTGTGGAGTTCCTCCACTGGTTATGCTTTATTCATAATGAACTTATTTTAGAATTAATATCAGACTTTATGCTAAGTATTTTACCTTCTATTCCGTCGTGGACAAAAAATTATGCGACAGTTCGGCGTGTAGAACTCAATTTTCAGAGTCCGTGCTTCTCACTTGGATACTTTTATGTGACCAGCTCACAGATAAATAAAAAATAACAAGTATCCAGAATCATTCTAATTAAATTAAAATTAGAGCTTCAGCAACGCTTCACGAATATATATATATATATATATATATATATATATATATATATATATATATATATATATATATATATATATATATATATGTATATATATATATTATAGCTATAATATATAATTATATATATATATATATATATATATATATATATATATATATATATATATATATATATATATATATATATATATAATTTGCGGGAAGGGGGGGGGGGGGGGCTTTTGTGGAGTTCCTCCACTGGTTATGCTTTATTCATAATGAACTTATTTTAGAATTAATATCAGACTTTATGCTAAGTATTTTACCTTCTATTCCGTCGTGGACAGTAATGCAAAATTGTTTAAAATTTGCCGAAAGACTTTCAGCTAGGTTTTCTATCAACTGTTGGTTGATGTATCCAATTTCAAGTCTGTTTAAGTTTTTAAACTTCTGGATACAAAACACATAAAAACTTTATCAATTGAGTAATGATATTTTAATCGTAAGACTACATTTACAACTAAAGCAGTGAACTAGCTAGCAAAAACTCATTAGTCAAGAAGATTTTATTTTGACGGTCAAGCTAGACGGTCACACTGCGACACTGTCAAAATCTACGCTTGAAATCATTAGCCTTGCTTTATGCACTAGAGAGGGGAGATTCGTGTGTCTAATATTCAAAATCATAAAATGAAAACAAAAATTGGACATTATTTTTTAGGGTTGCGGCAACATCCTAATATACTTATCCAACCATTGAATTCGTTTGAAGTTAATTTCCAATCTTAACCGGGTTGAAAAGCTTAATTCCATAGTTAAATCAACATTAGCTTCTTTAAATCTTTAAAAAGATAACTATTAAGCAGAAACGTTGTATATGAGAAAAAAAATTCTTAAAAATTCTTTAATGACAAGCTTTTTTGTAATAATGCACTAAAAAGTAGAAAATAAATTATACACTTCTATTTAAATAACTATTAAGAAAAGCGTGGGTCTCTTCCTAAATATTAGTAAAGGTATCCGATAGATACTAAAGTGACCCACGCTTTTCTTTATAGTTATTAAATAGTAGTGTATAATTTATTTTCTACTTCTTAGTGCATAAAAGCTTATTTTCTCCTTTTTAGTGCAGTATTACATAAAAGGTTGTTATTAAAACGTTATTTAAGAATTTTTTTTGTACTTTACATGTTTTTATTTACAATAGTTACATGACTAAAAACCATTGCGCACCCATTGAACGTGATGACGCGCTATTGAACGTGATGACGCGTGTGGAGTAGTTGGATAAGACTGCCTACTAATTCGGTCAAAATTGTAATCAATTCATGCAAAATTAATTAGTCAACCAATCATGTCAAATTTAATGTCATCTTCCAATGTCTTCTAGAATGACAGACTGGCGACAGACTGACGAGGAAGTGAGTTGAATAAAAGCTTGTAAAAAGAAAAATCCCTATATGGACATTAAAAATGAAATGGAGAAATGACTCACTGTTAAGACGGTGTCGAATGCATGAATCGGTCCTGGAAATAACTTCATGCCGTCGACATGGCAAAGATTCAGACAAATGGTTTTGAGATTATCACTAGAATGTGTGCCTAATATTTCTAGAAATTCGATAACCATCTTCACTTCTATGAGGGTCTCTTTTAGAGATATTTTCTGTGAAACGATTTAAAAAAACAAACAATTCATTGTGTGTAATAGAAGCAATGGGCTACGGAAAAGATGAAGAGTTGTATAGCTAGAAACACAAACACTTGTTATATTTAATGTGATTAATCATAAAGTAGCTGAATTTATAAAATGGACTAATTAATAAATATTTTAAAATTGTGTACTTTTGTTGACGCTACTTATAAAAAGATTTAGGATAGGATTTAGGGTAGATTACTCATGGGTCAGTAGGTAAGAACGAAACAAAAAACGTATGGCCCGACCAACAATAAGCGAGATGACGCTTATTAAGCAGTAGATAACGGCAGTAGGATAACTGTTGTAATAGTCGAAGAGTTAGATAGAAGTTTGATGTCAAGGATTGGAGTTAAAATTGATGTGTATGTGTATGTGTATGCGTATGCGTATGCGTATGCGTATGGGTATGCGTATGCGTATGCGTATGCTTATGCGTATGCGCATGCGTATGCGTATGTGTATGTGTACGTGTACGTGTACGTGTACGTGGGTGTGGGTGTGGGTGTGGGTATGGGTATGGGTATGGGTATGGGTATGGGTATGGGTATGGGTATGGGTATGGGTATGGGTATGGGTACCGGTACCGGTACGGGTACGGGTACGGGTATGGTGTGGGTGTTGGTGTGGGTATGGGTTTGGGTATGGGTATGGGTGTGGGTATGGGTATGGGTATGGGTATGGGTATGGGTATGGGTGTGGGTGTAGGTGTGGGTGTGGGTGTGGGTATGGGTGTGGGTGTCGGTGTGGGTGTAGGTGTGGGTGTGGGTATGGGTGTGAGTATGGGTATGGGTGTGAGTGTGGGTTTTGGTATTGGTATTGGTATTGGTATTGGTATTGGTATTGGTATTGGTATTGGTATTGGTATTGGTATTGGTATTGTATTGGTATTGGTATTGGTATTGGTATTGGTATTGGTATTGGTATTGGTATTGGTATTGGTATTGGTATTGGTATTGGTATTGGTATTGGTATTGGTATTGGTATTGGTATTGGTATTGGTATTGGTATTGGTATTGGTATTGGTATTGGTATGTACAAAAAATACAAAAAAAAATGTACAAAAATATGTTAGTCCGATACAATTTTACCTGATTTCTAGACATGTACATGATATGTAGGGTACACCAATGAGTATAATCTATAAATAAACACATTAAACAGAAGGCTATAAGAGCTACTTAATTTTGTTTCTAAAGCGGACTTTGCAGGTTTTGCAAAACTTCTATTAAAGTATCAGTTATTAGATATGTTTTAGTTTTCACACCTATTGGAAAATTGTGTAGAATAAAATTTTCTTTATTTTATTCACATTATGATCGTTTATATATGACTGTAATCAAAGTGTAATAATCTAAAGTTACTTCTATAACTACATCTGTTTCTGCTTCCGTAACAGTGACTGTTTATGTAACTATACCAATATCTATATTCATATCTATACCGATATATGTTTCTTCTTCTATCTCAATAGTAATGTTGGACGGAATTTCTCCAACACAGTTATGTAAATATTACATGTGTCAAAATGTAATGCGCCAATCGAGATGTAAAAGAGAGAGATGACAATGATTTAACACTTGCCTCAAGTTTTGTCTGCTTCTTCAGAAATTTGTTCATACCAGATGCGAACCTCCTCATTGCTGTGTTAGTCGAGCTGTTCTGATATATCCCCTGGAGTTCGAACACTCGGAGTTTGGAAGTCGACAGTAACGTCAACAACTGATTTAGAGTCTCCATTGTGTCTTTCTCTTTGCTACCATAATAGCACTCCACTCTCAACTCTGTAACTTTTTCTGCACATCTTTTTGCTAATGCAATCGATTTCCGCGCTATATCAGTACATTAAGAATATATATATATATATATATATATATATATATATATATATATATATATATATATATACTACATCACCATTTCTACAATTAAATAATAAAATAACAATAGCAACGTGTATGAGTATAAAAGTTTTTAGACCGTCATAGCAAACATTAACATTACCCTCTCGCTTACTCTGACTGTTGTACCTATGACTGTTGTACCTATGACTGTTGTACCTATGACTGTTGTACCTATGACTGTTGTACCTATGACTGTTGTACCTATGACTGTTGTACCTATGACTGTTGTACCTATGACTGTTGAACCTATGACTGTTGTACATATCGCCGTTGTACCTATCACTGTTATTCATATTGAAATTGCTATCGTTTTCCCCGTTAGGTCGAGGATGAATATAACTTTTCATTTAAAACAATACCTCTGGGACTTTCCCGTAAATACCCGATCTAACTAGTGTATGTCGTAATTTACAGCGTGACAAACAACCCCGAATTTATATATATATATATATATATATATATATATATATATATATATATATATATATATATATATATGTATATTTATATATATTTATATATATTTATATATATATATATTTATATATTTATATTTTAATATATATACGTCTATGCATATATATGCATGTATATGCATATGTTTGTAAATGTATAATTATACAAACACGTACACGTCACTGCACGTACACATTATAAACATAAGTAATTAAGATTAAGTTTGCCTTTCAAACCTGACGGTCTATGGGTCTAGTGAAGTAGAGTTTACTTGTTTCTGTGACCTCGGCATATGAAGAGATAGTGTGTTCAGCACTATGCCCAGCCGCCTTTACTTTCCCTAACGTGAGTTAGGTACCCATCAGAGTTGGGTGGACTCAGGGACGGTCTAATGACTTTAACCCGGATTCAAACTCGAGACTTACGGGTTAGAAGTCCAGATATTTCATCACGATTCGTATGTTGATTTGTAAAATAAATACATAAACTTTCAAAATCTCTATTTTATCTATTTATATCTCTAACCGGATTCTTCCAGCTTTCTGTCGTCCAGAACCAGTTTTATGGACCGCCACAGTGATGCGCTTTTTGTTGCTGAGTTCCAAGAATGGCACACCTTAAAGATAATAAAGGCATTTAGCAACCTGCATTACCCACACATGTAGCAACCAGCCTAACCCACACATGTAGCAACCAGCCTAACCCACACATGTAGCAACTAGCCTAATCCACACATGTAGCAACCAGCCTAACCCACACATGTAGCAACTAGCCTAATCCACGCATGTAGCAACCAACCTAATCCACACATGTAGCAACCAACCTAACCCACACATGTAGCAACCAGCCTAACCCACACATGTAGCAACCAGCCTAACCCACACATGTAGCAACCAGCCTAACCCACACATGTAGCAACCAGCCTAACCCAAACATGTAGCAACCAGCCTAACTCACACATGTAGCATCCAGCCTAACACACAAAATCGACATGTAGCAACCAGCCTAACCCACACGTGTAGCAACCAACCTAACCCAAACATGTAGCAACCAGCCTAACCAACACATGTAGCAACCAGCCTAACCCATACATGTAGCAACAAGTCTAACCTACACATGTAGCAGCCAGCCTAACTCACACATGTAGCAACCAGCCTAACCCACACATGTAGCAACCAGCCTAACCCACACATGTAGCAACCAGCCTAACCCACACATGTAGCAACTAGCCTAATCCACACATGTAGCAACAAGCCTAACACACACATGTAGCAACCAGCCTAACACACACATGTAGCAACCAGCTTAACCCACAAATTTGTGTTAATTACAGTGGCGCCACGAGAGGTCTGCGGACCGCATTGGGTGTTACCAAGGCAACAAAAATTTAAATATTAAAACAGAATAATTAGTTTTGCCAATTAAATTAATGAATTACCAAATTAAATTTCTCTAAACTGACAATCCTGACAATAGTTTATGTGGTGGAACGGGGAGCGCGGTGACATTATAACGTAAACTTCTATAAAAAGAGTTGTTTTAATAACTACCATAAATATTGTTACTATTAAATATATGCACAGATTAAAGCTGGAGGAATGTAGACAACAAATGCAAAATTTACGTTCCGAAGCAATAAATTCATGCTTTATATCAGTTTGGTCTTAGTTTGGTATAGTTCTGCAATATCGTGCAATTGAATTTGGATTAAATGAATTCAAAAAGAAATATAGGCCTACCCGTAAAGGGTAAAGAGCTTCTAGTGGATTCAAACGTTGAAAAAAGTCTCTTTATTCGCTATAGAATTCAAATTTCTATTCATAATTTTTTTTTTCGAATGATATATTACATATTTTAAAAGGATTCTTAAAATGGTGAACTCCCAGTAGTGCGTTATTATTCCGGAATTGTATAGCAGTAAAAAAAACAACAGAAAACAAAAGCGTAATATGTTTCGGAATCCACCGAAAGTTTAGTAAACGATACTTTTTTGGCGCCATATTTTTAAAAGTACATAACGTTATTTTGCATGATAAATACTGTTTCACTAATCAGTTTGTTTTGCTTATTATGTTTATGTGTCTCTAGATATATATTGCTGCTACTAAACTTTGTTATAATAATTTTTACTAGTTTTAACAGTATCTAGACCTGGATCTAAATCGAGGCCTAATTGACTGTCGCAAAACTTGTGAAAGTTTTTATTTTAGTGTTTCCAAAAAAATATTAAACTAGTTATTACACTTTACTTTATTATTCAAATTAAGATCTACTAATGTACTATTTATTTCTTTTTCCTGTGTTGATTAAACATAAAATTAAGTTAAAACATTAAATTAGTTCAATCGACTTTATTTATATTTCACTAGTCAAATAAACCATGGTTTACAGTAACTAATGTTTACAAAGTTCAAGAATGATAACTATATCCCTTATAAATACAACATTGGCCAAAAAAAATAATTTCATGTCAACAAAAAAAAATGGGAGGCTTCATGTCAATTAATTAGTGTTCATTGATTTTTATTCAAGCATTGTAAACAGCACAAATCTTGTCGAAAATGATAAAGAAAATTAATCACAGGTAAAGTGTTATGTTTTGCTACTTCTCTGCACCACAAGGCTAGCATTAAGAAAATATACTCTAGATCTAGGTCTATCCATTTTCAATATAGATCTATACATTTTGGTTCTTTAACTAAAATTACCTGAGCCGATGTTCCAATAGTGTCGATAGAAGACAGCTTGAAGATTTGCAATAAAATATGCTGGGGTAAATTACTCCAACCATCAGCCATCTGTAAAACAAATTTATCAAAAAGCTTTTGATAAATGACTTATTTTTTTTTACTTTTAGTGTATCTAATACTTTTGAAATATCAGGCCTTTCACGAATTGAATGACAAATTGCGTGAATATCCGATTACAATAGACGCGAAACATTGCTGCGTAAAAAAAGTATATTTTGTTAGAAGAGTTGGTTTTGTTGTCCAGATAAATGTGCAATTTTTTACCTTATAAGTCAACAAGTTGCACAAACTTCCTCTTATACCTAGTTTATAGTTGTTACTTACTCCTACAAAACATTGTAGAGAGGTTCGTTAACTTCCATATTATTTGTCCAGCAATCTTTTTACCCAGTATCGACCATTTTGTCCTGTATGACATTTTATCGTCCGTGTGTCTCTATAGTGCAAAACACTGTCCGGTGTTTCATCTTCTAGCATTTATGACGTCAAAAGACTTTTACCTGTCACTGTTGTAACTATCACTGTTGTAACATCAACTTTGTACCTATAATTGTATCTTTACAATTTCCAAACACTCTAGGTACAAAATTATCAACACACATGACCTTTTCTAGGTCTAATGAAAAACATAGCTCTGCAAATCGTCAATAACCACACGATATCCCTTCATATGCAGAGGTCCTTCAAGCTAATAAACTCTACTTAATCTGCCCTGTGTGTTTTGGGCATAAACGAGAAATGATGATGATGAATTTTCAAAATATCTAATTATTATTAAATATTAAAATAATCTGAATGATTTGTTTAAAAAAAACATATTTTAAATTAAATTAACTTATGACGATTGTTATATTTAAATAAACCTTCGATACGATTCCACAAAAAATGCTACAGAATATTACAACAATTAAACTATGAAAAGAAAAAGAAGAATAAAAAGTCATAGTTTATTTAGCTGCATGGAACATTTTCATAATAAAACCACAACGTGTTCATGTCCTATTACTGTTTAATGTAACTCTTATTTACTGCATATTATAAATAGAGGTGCTGTAACATGATTACCCTTTGAATGGGGTTAAACACGAGAGAACGGCCGTAGATGTATGTGTTTTTACATTGTTCATGCAGTTGGCCCTATTTTTACAAGCTTTTATTTAACTCACTTCCTCGTCAGTCTGTCTTCAGTCTAGATTGAAACGCAGGAGTGAAAATTCGGACAGTTCTACTTGACCGATACAATTCACAGTTGGCACGTGGGTCAAGACATGAAGACAATGCAATCTGAAACTAAATTTGACTTAATTGGATGCCTAATTAATTTTTTATGAATTAATTAAAATTTGGACCGAATTAGTAGGCATGTTTATCCAACCACACCACACGCGTCATCACATTCAATAGCTGCGCCATCACGTTCAATAGACGCGCAATGGTTTTTAGTCATGTAACACTATTGTAAATAAAACATGTAAAGTACTGAAAAATAATTTCATAAAAAACGTTTTAATAACAAGCTTTTATGTAATGATCCACTAAAAAGTAGAAAATAAATTATACACTACTATTTAAATTACTATAAAGAAAAGCGTGGGTCTCTTCTCAAATATTAGTAAAGGTATCCAATAGGTACTAAAGTACTAAAGTGACCCACGCTTTTCTTTATAGTAATTTAAATAGTAGTGTATAATTTATTTTCTACTTTTTAGTGCATCATTACATAAAAGCTTGTTATTAAAACGTTTTTTATGAAATTTTTTTACAAGCTTTTATTTAACTCACTTCCTCTGTCGTCGCCAGTCTGTCTGTCGTCAGTCTAGATAGAAACGCAGGAGTGAAAATTCGGAAACTTCTACTTGACCGATACGATTCACATTTGACACGTGGGTCAAGACATGAAGACAATGCAATCTGAAACTAAATTTGACTTAATTGGATGCCTAATTAATTTTTTATGAATTAATAAAAATTTGGACCGAATTAGTAGGCATGTCTAGCCAACCACACCACACGCGTCATCACCTTCAATAGCTGCGCCATCACGTAATGGCTGCGTTCAAAAACCATTGCGCGCCTACTGAACGTGATGTTCAGTAGGCGCGCAATGGTTTTTAGTCATGTAACTCTATTGTAAATAAAACATGTAAAGTACTGAAAAAATAAACCGGGAGTGATCTCCCCTAAACTTTTTCGAATATTCTTATATAAAATAACAGGGGATGGGAACTCGGGCTATAGACATGATTTTTAATCCATTTTAAATACTTAAAGTTTTAAAAATAGAATAAAATCTCGTAGACAAATTAATTGCACACCAAGGGAACGCCAAATAAAAAAGCGCATAATGGTGCGCAAAATTATTATTACTTTTAAAATTTACATTAGTTTTTTGAGAAATCGGAAGTAGCGTAAAGTACTACTTCCAGTCAACGGAAATGACTCAAAATTTAACAGAAGGTAGAGAATTAGATATTTTACTTACATATGAAATTTCATTTATCTATCTGAAATAGTACTCAAGTTATAGGCTTTTGAAAAATTCAAAGTAGGAAAAGTACCACTTCCGGTTATCGGAAATCGCTCAAAAGTTGATACGGATCTACGATTTTGATTAAATACTTATATATGAAATTTCATTAACCTAGCTGTAACGGTACTCAAGTTATCGTGTTTACACACGGACAGACAGACAGACACACAGACAGACACACAGACAGACACACAGACATACGGACAAGATTGCAAAATTATGTTTTTCCGTATCAGTGAGTTGTAAAACGTCGAGATATGTAAAAATTTCGATTTTTTTTTTGCACGATTACAAGACTTTCTCTATACTTCGTATATACGAGAAAGTAAAAATTCATAAAAAACGTTTTAATAACAAGCTTTTATGTAATGATGCACTAAAAAGTAGAAAATAAATTATAGACTACTATTTAAATAACTATAAAGAAAAGCGTGGGTGTCTTCCTTAACATTAGTAAAGGTATCCAATAGATACTAAAGTGACCCACGCTTTTCATTATAGTTATTTAAATAGTAGTCTATAATTTATTTTCTACTTTTTAGTGCATCATTACATAAAAGCTTGTTATTAAAACGTTTTTTATGAATTTTTTTTTAAATAAACAATAGGGTCTACTTTTTTTTTAATGATTGATAGAGTTGGACCATGATGCTGTTTGTCTGAATGCTTGTGAGTTAAAGCTCACATGTTTTTGATTACTAGTTTTGTCACCTGAGCATCAATCAGTATTAAAGTAATTCAGCTTAGTGTTGGTGACTTTTTACTATGATCATCTCTTGTGCCTTTGATGATATTTTCAAAATGGAGCTATATTTACATGGAACATTCTGTTCCTATGCTGTCACAAAGACCAAATTCATTACATTAGTGATTAACAAATGTTTATTTTAATGATATTTTTGTCATTGTAGATGGTACATTTATGATCATAAAAATTTCTCATTTTGGCTGTGTAGTGTGTATAGTATAATCAAATGAAATCACTGTAGAAACTGTTGTTTACAAATTAAACATTTATAAAAGTGCAGGTTTTTTTTTCTTTTCATTGATACATGTGGTTCAGCAAATATGTAGTCTTAATGTGTAAGTTCATTTTTTAATTAATAATTTAAATGTGGCAAAAGTCCTAAATTAAACTTTGCTAATATATATTTCTAAAATCAATAATAATTCTACAAATTTAAAAACTTAATTTAGATTAAAATATTTTTTTTTAAATTAGCTATCAATTTTTAAAATGAACAAAGTCTGTCCTTTCATAATGTATTTTGCTAAGAGGATGGTCCCTGTCTCATAACATGCTTGAAAACAGCTAAAATTATAGAAAATACATTTCTATAAATAATTTTAATTTGAGTAATACAGCTAATAACATTGACGTAATGAAAAAAGTAGTTAAAACGTAATAAGTAACATATTTCTATTGTTATTTAAAAAGATAACTTTTCTTTTTAATTACTGAATATTTAATACAAATGAAAAAGAGCTATTTAAACAACTGATCAATGAATTAAAAACTGTTTAAAATACAACAATGTTTCTGTAGGCCTATTATTTGTTTTCAATAAATAAAATTACATATTTTGGTGTGTTTTTTTTCCATACAAATAATTTAAAAGTAATCTTGCCCTGGTACAAGTAAATCAACATTCAGTAGCAAGCCACCATTCACAGACTCTTCTTTTAGTTTTTCTATCTCTTTGAGCACTTTAGAACCGATGGTTCGACTGTCGCGATACTTAAACTTGACATCCGTCAAACTGTTTGGTCTTTTTAATACTTCTCCAAATGCCCTCAAAAACTTAATCTGTGAAAACAAACGCGATAAAAATAAAAAAAAAACTTAATCTGTAAAAACAAACAAAACGAAACATATGTAATTAAAACGTATACATTTTTAAAATGTATAATATAAGCCAGTATCAGAACTATATATATATATATATATATATATATATATATATATATATATATATATATATATATGTAACTAGTGTAGTTACTAAAGACGATTGATAAGAACGCAATACAGTCTGTCAACTAAAGACATGACCAAGGCCAAACTGAACTGATGCAACGGATGCAGGTGGTGTGACAGAAATAGAAACAAAAGTCTAATAATCGGACTGTACGACAGAACTGCGTAGTTCATAGTTATGATGCAACGGATAGAACCGATTACGAATACAAGGCGATATAATAGGACGGCACGACGAGAAGGGAGAAGAACAGAAGTTGAAGACTGAACTGTAGATACGTGTTGTAATTTGTGAGAATAAGATTGGAAGCCTGGACCATGGACACGTGTATTCTGATATGTGAGGACTAGTGAGGACAGTAGGGGTCAGTTGATTCATTGTATTCTTGTGGAACATTGATGCATTGCTATGTGGAGCATTTCTATTGATTCATTTAATAAAGAGATAAATGTAAACCTGCACTTCAGAGTATCTGTATTGTGATTAATGTTGTGTGCTGGTCAAAGATAGCACAAGTAAAGACACTGTAACATTTGACGTTGCGAGTAAATACACTCGGTAACATTTGGCGCTGCGAGTAGCTGAACTCAACTAGACCAGCCGTTAGCGGCACCCATTGTCAACCTGGTCAATAACTGTGTTTTGTGTGTGAATTCGGACAATCGAGGAACAGGGAAAAGTATTCTTACATAAACGGTAGGAAAGGTCTTTTTATTCAAAGAAAATATATTTAAGGATTAGAATGTCTAATTTGGACGAAAGGCCGACCCATATTGTGGTCCTGCCCAGAGAATCCCACATAAACAAATTTTATGGGGACGGTGATTCAACCTTAACTAACAGATTCTATGAAGAGGTCAAAGCTGCCTGGGCCTCGAGATACATGTCACCAGAGGAAAGATTAAGGTTGTTGATGAGCAGTATAGGGGAGACGGTTAGGGCGGAGGTAAAATGCCACAATAAAGCCCTCCAAACAGATCCAGATAAAGTGCTAGATTTAATTGTGGAGACCTTTGGTGAGAGACGGTCGGGGTCGCAACTGCTATCGGGGTTCGTAGGTCTAAAGCAGAGACTGGCGGAGAGTGTGATGGAATATTCACATCGAATGAACAGGGCCTTTGACGCTGTAAAAGGCAAAACACCCGACATTGATGCGCGCCTACTGAGGGATCATTTTATTGAAGGGTTAGCAACCCCTATCTTAAGAAGAGATTTGAAAGAGGAGGTGTACAAGGACCCACAGTTGACCTTCCTTCAGGTCAGGAACTCAGCGATCCGCAGGTCAGAGTATGAGGACGAATCGAACTGCTTGGTAGACAAAATCTCTGTGCCAGAACAGAAACAATCACCACCTACATGGACCAGCACCATGGAAACCATGATGGCTCAACTGTTGGCTCGCCTGGATAAGGTTGACCAACGGTTGGAGAGGTTAGAAAGTAGGTCAACAGCAGATAACCACGGCAAAAACTGGACAAGACATAGACAAGTTAGACAGCCGCGACCTGCAAATCCATCACTCCAGTGGACAGCTGACGGTCGACCAATCTGCCTGTACTGCTCACAGTCCGGACATATTGCACGGTACTGTCCGGGGAAACGATCGCCCGCTGTAAGGCAGGTCCAGGCTACAGAGGGGCGAGGTTATGGCCTAAGAAACAAGATAGAACAAGCAATGAAAGAGTCTCAAACAAGACTTGAAGAGAAATTATCAGATATTGAAAAAGAACTTCAAATTACACACGAAAAATTAGATTTGAAGCTTTCTGAACTTCAGAATTGTGAAACTAAGCTAACAGATAACTATAGCCTTGGTGGAAGAACTTAAGAATTCAAAAGACTTGTTAATAATAGAAAAAATGAACTGTGAAATGAACTTGGATGTTGAAAAGTTTCAAGTGAACAATTTGTTGGCTGAGAAAAATGATGATAAGGAGGAAATTGGTAGACTTAATAATGAGATCTCAATGTTAACCATGAAACTGGATAGGGAAAGTTCATGCAAATTAAAAGCACAGGAGAAATGTTCATCTTTAGAGTGTCTGTTATCTGAAGAAGAAAATAAAAATATTAGACAACAGAACAGTGTTGGCAAACTAGAAGAAATGATAGAAAAAGAAAGGCTATTGAATCAACACTTAGAAAAGCAAGTATTAGAACTAATGAAAAAGGTTGAAAATAAGACACGTCTTATAGCAGATAAAGAAAAAGAAGTAGAAGTTTTGCACATTTCTATTGAGAATCTTAAATCAGTGAATACAGAAAAAGAAAATGAAGTGAAGAATTATACAGATGAACTTGAATTGCTACGATCTAATACAAATATGCAGCTAAAAGAAATGCCAGTTGTCAAAATGAGACAGCCATCAGGACACCTACTGGCGACAAAACCCCTAGAGATTGTGGCTATGGACTTTACATCGTTGGAGCAATCATCGGATGGGACGGAACATGTGTTGGTGATGACTGACGTATTCACCAAATGGACTGTCGCGGTGCCCACACGAGACCAGACGGCCAAAACAGTGGCAAAGGTCTTAATAGAACACTGGTTCATCAAATATGGTATACCAAGACAATTACACTCTGACCAAGGAAGGGCCTTTGAGTCAGAAGTAATTAACCAACTGTGCAGCCACTACGGGATCAACAAATCTAGAACAACCACATATAATCCTAAAGGAAACGGACAGTGCGAGCGGTTCAATCGCAGCATGCATGATTTGCTGCGTACTCTAGAACCTGAACAGAAAAAACGTTGGCCTGATTTTCTCCCAGAGTTGGTATACCTATACAACTGCACCCCCCATGCCACAACCGGCCTTTCGCCACATATGTTACTGTTCGGACAGGAGGCTCGACTCCCTCTGGACTTGTTCCTAGGAAAAAAGGAAAGCATGACTGGCTCATACACCGCACTGGAATATGTGAATGAACATATGAGACGAATTAGAGAAATGTACAGGGTGGTACAAGAAAGACTAGAACATGAAGCACGGCGAAGAGAACCGCTGGTACAGACAAAAGACCCGCAACTCCAACTGAACGACAAAGTATTACTGCGTAGCCACCCATTAGGCAGAAACAAAATCCACGACTTCTGGGGACAGGAGGTATGGCAAGTCGTGGAGATGCCTAAAGTAGCCGGTGGCCCCTTTAAAGTAAGACCCACCAATCACACCAAACCGGACCGTTGGGCGAATATTACTCAATTAAAGAAATATTGGCATAGTCAAGAAGAGCATTTACACACAAAGAAAACTAAGACAATTAGGGAACCAGAAACTTACACGGAAATTCACATACCCATCCCGGAACCATGTCACCATCAACAGCACAACAGCGATACACAAGTGGAGGATAACTGCAACAATGAGGATCCCGGTCCTCCCAGAAGTAGAGAGACAGTAGAACATCAGATAAGTGGTCCGCGGAGAAGTTTGAGGAACAGAAAGAGTACGAAATTTTTCGTCAGCAACCATCAATTCTTTCATGGTCGCGCTGGTATGAGAACAGACTGTCCAAAAGCTATAAAAGTAAACTGGTGATGACACCAAACGAAAAAAACGGCGGGGGTGGATGTGAATTCTAGAACTGCTTTGTGTCTGAGGAATATGATGTAGACACATTTAGTATTTTGAAATAGGGATAACTGTTAATCGTGTATGAACGTGACGACATTGACAGTAAGTAGAACAGTAACTTTTTTTTATGGTGTTGCGTTTGACATTGGAGGAGTGCACCCGCCAAGCGTTGTTTGTGATTGAGAACACACACAAAAAACGGCGGGGGTGGATGTAACTAGTGTAGTTACTAAAGACGATTGATAAGAACGCAATACAGTCTGTCAACTAAAGACATGACCAAGGCCAAACTGAACTGATGCAACGGATGCAGGTGGTGTGACAGAAATAGAAACAAAAGTCTAATAATCGGACTGTACGACAGAACTGCGTAGTTCATAGTTATGATGCAACGGATAGAACCGATTACGAATACAAGGCGATATAATAGGACGGCACGACGAGAAGGGAGGAGAACAGAAGTTGAAGACTGAACTGTAGATACGTGTTGTAGTTTGTGAGAATAAGATTGGAAGCCTGGACCATGGACACGTGTATTCTGATATGTGAGGACTAGTGAGGACAGTGGGGGTCAGTTGGTTCATTGTATTCTTGTGGAACATTGATGCATTGCTATGTGGAGCATTTCTATTGATTCATTTAATAAAGAGATAAATGTAAACCTGCACTTCAGAGTATCTGTATTGTGATTAATGTTGTGAGCTGGTCAAAGATAGCACAAGTAAAGACACTCTGTAACATTTGACGTTGCGAGTAAATACACTCGGTAACATATATATATATATATATATATATATATATATATATATATATATATATATATAAACATAAACACAAAACAATAACATAGGAACTCATTGCTGGCCTGTTCGGGTTTGGAAAAAAAAAGTTTCAATTAAAACAAATTACGACATAATGTCGTTAGTGTAAGTGCATTAGTGTTTTTTTTTTGTGAAAATCAGTTTTATTTTATCTATGCTATAAAACCTCTTAACCTCTATTCGGTCAAAAATATAAAACAAGAAGCTTTGTATAAGTAATGGTTATGTTTATTTGTATGTCTTTTTGTATTTATATTATTAATTTTAAATACATTTCCTTTTTAAACAATGTCATTCTTAAGTATGTACTTTATAAAAAAATAATAATTAAGAGAAGTAATTGCTTTTTAATTTGTTTAGTAGAAATACATTAAATTAAGCTTATGAGCACCCTTATTTGACTATTTAAATATAGGAAAATAAGTCATGGAAGTGGTTTGAACGTTTGCTTATCTTTGATAAGTTTGATTGTAGGAGAAAGAGGACTCGGCTTTCACAGTGGTTTAAAAATAAATGGAAAAAGAATATACAAAAGCGTGGGATGGTGTCTTTTGTACAAAACAACCATCTATTCAAAACTGCAAGAATTTTTTTTTTTAACTATGGTCCGCTTTGGGCCCCTAAATGGCGTGCCCCCTTGCATTGCGGGGTCTGGCGGCACTGTAGTTCCGCCCCTGATATAAGCAGCTAGGTAGTGTGTCAGTCCGTCATTGCTATAGATTCTGGAACCATAAAAGAAAATATCGTACCACGCACTACTTTTAAACTGCACCACATTGTCTTTTTATTACCATTGGAGAAGGGTTTGTTTATATAACGACTAACATTTTTTGTATAATTGACACAGTTTTTACACTTTTCCATAACGTGAAGAAAATATTAAATAAACGCACATTGCTATATTATATTAAACTGATCAATTGCAATACTATTTTCGATTAGATTTCTTGAAAAGTGGGATACATTTTAATAACAGTATGGTCGAAAAAACTAATTAATTAAAATATTTTATAATTATGCCAGGGGGGGGGGGGTAATTCAAAAAGAAATTGAACTCACTCACTAATGTAAGTTAATTTTTTTAATAACTACCGCATTGATTATTTTATGTTAAGGTTCATAATTAAAACAGAAAAATATTAATCTAATTAGTCTATAGTCTATCAAAATCACTATTTTTACAAGCTTTTATTTAACTCACTACCTCGTCAGTCTGTCTGTCTAGATCGAAACGCCCGAGCGAAATGGCAGGCACTTCTAACTGACAAATACGGTTCGTAATTGGTACGTGGGTCAAGACATGAAACAATGCATCATGACATTTATTTTGACTTAATTGATCGCCTGAGTATTTTTTATGAATTAATAAAAAATTTGACCAAATTAGTAGGCAGTCCTATCCAACTACTCCACACGTGTCATCACGTTCAATAATGGTTTTTAGTCATGTAACTCTATTATAAATAAAAACATGGAAAGTACTAAAAAGTTCATAAAAAAACGTTTCAAAAACATACTTTCATGTAATAATACTCTAAAAGGAGAAAATAAGTTATACACTATTTAAATAACTATAAAGAAAAGAAGGGACAGAGTGGTCAAGCGGTAGAGAGCTGGACTGCTAACCCGTAAGCCTCGAGTTCGAATCCGGGTTCAAGTCAGTAGACCGGGTGATGGGTACTTAACTCGCGTTAGTGAAAGTAAAGGCGGCTAGGCATAGTGCTGACCACACTATCTCTTCATATGAACCACGCTTTTCTTTATAGTGTATAATTTATTTACCCCTTTTTAGTGCATTATTACATTCGATATTTTTTTTAAACGTTTTTTATGAAAAAAATTTTTTTGTTTTTTTTCGATGTTATTAAAACGGATGAAATTAGACTTCTAGAGAATGCCGAAAAGGCTCTCTCTGGACCAGGACGCCTAGGAAAGCGTTATTGCTTTTTTGCGTTTGTGTTTGCATTGTGTTTGTGTTGTGTTTGTGTTTTTTGTGTTGTATTGTGTTGTGTTGTGTTTGTGTTGTGGTTAGTGTCGTGTTTGTGTTGTGTCGTGTTCATGTTGTGTTTGTGTTGTGTTTGTGTCGTGTTTGTGTTGTGTTGTGTTTGTGTTTTGTTTTGTTTTGTTCTGTTCCCAAGTTGGTACATTTTAAAAAAGATTAACCGTGGCGGAGCACGGGTATGTAGCTAGTAACAATATGACTATACAAGGCGTTTTTTAATGTGGCATAGCAACCATATCTAAATTATAAACTTAAAGTACAAAAACTAAGAGAGCGATATCGCATAAACCCATATATACGGTAATTGGAAGTAGTGAAAAATGAAACAAATATAAAACAAATTTATAACCACCAGCCAGGGGGGCTGACCCGAAGGGGCGCCAAAAGGGGTAGAAAAATTAAAAATATAAAAGCTCATTTTAAGCTTCAGTTTTGAATTATGAACTGTCAAAGTTAAGAAATTTAACGGCTACAAGACTTTACATTTTGTTTTAACTGTTTTCTACCTAGATTGTGTAACTATAAAACAAATACCCTTAGCAAACAGTGACCGGCAAACACCGCTCTCCAGCTTTTCCTGGATAGTGGGCTTTTCCGCCGACTAAAATCGAAAGGATTTACACAGGATTGCTAAGTAGATAAACTTTATTGCTTATAAAATAAAAATTCAACTGCAATTTTGAGGGGGGGGGGGGGGTTGTAGACTGAGGTCTGAGGTGTAACGTCAATTTAGCGGGGGGGGGGGGGGGGGGGGTAGCAGATGTGTGACGGAGGGTAGGGGGGAGATAATTTATTGATGACCCCTTAGGTTTATTTTTTTTCAGACATTAATATTTTTTTAATGGATAACGCATCTTAATGCGAGTTGAATTGGCGTCGAGTAAAGTTTTAGGGAACGAAAATCATACACCGTTATTATTAAATCTTTTCCGGACTGTCTCTCGCACCCACGCACACACTCAATCATACACACACACACACACATACATATATATATATATATATATATATATATATATATATATATATATATATATATATATATATATATATATATATATATATGTGGATGTGTGTGGTTGTGTGTGTGTGGGGGGGGAGCGCCAAATTGAAATTTCGTCCCGGGCACAACATGCTTCTAAATGCACTGAAAATAAGAAAATAAAATGAGACTAGTAGTTAGACAGTTACGTTTGCTTCTGTTTTTATCATCATGGACATCGAAAACTTCCGTAAGCGTTGAAATGAAGCTAAATGTTTACAAAAATCTTCAGATAGTTCTTGCTCTCCAAAATGATTTTCTATATGAAGTTCTTCCAGTGTATGCTGGTACAGCGTTGCTATGTTTGCAATTTCAAACTGTAGAGAGACATTAATTTAAATGTGTATAGATCTTTTTCTCTCTCCATAAATAAAAAAATAAAATTAAATAAATGATTAAATAAATATGCGACTAAATAAATAAACCAACAAACATACAAATAAACAAACGAAATAACGAACGTGTAAAAAAGATTATTTAAGAAAAAATAAAGTGAGCATGATCAGGGGCCATTTGACATCGGGGACTGTAAAGTTTGTCCACCATGCTTACATGTTTGTTACGCCACTGCCCCAAGATTGATATTTTCATTGAGCGTTTTTTTTTTTTTTGTCTCACAGATAGCCTGAATGTTTCGCTTTGTTATCAGGCAATGGAAATTGTAAAATAGAAAAATTTTAAAAAAAGTTTAACTATGAAAAAAAACAACCGGGAGTGATCTCCCCTAAACTTTCTCGAATATTCTATTATAACACTACGGGGGATGGCAACTCGGGATATAGACAATATTTTAAATTCAATTTTAATTACTTAAACTTTTTTAAATAGAATGGAATATCGTAAAAACATAATTGCACACCAAGCGAACGCCAAATAATATGTGCATAATAGTGCGAAATATTATTAGTACTTTATAAATGCAAATGTGTTTTTTGAGAAATCGGAAATAGCCTAAATTACTACTTCCGGTCAACGGAAGTTACTCACAATTTTAAAGAAGGCAGAGAATTAGATCTTTTACTTACATGTGAAATTTCATTTATCTATCTGCAATATTACTCAAGTTATAGGCTTTTGAAAAATTGAAAGTATAAAAAGTTACACTTTCGGTTATCGGAAATCGCTTAAAAGCTTATACGGGTCAACAAATTAAATATAAGACTTATATATGAAATTTCATCATTCTAGCTGTATCGGTACTTAAGTTATCGTGTTTACAGACACACACACATACACACACACACACACACACACACACACACACACA